CTCAGCATAACACCCTCAAGGTCCATCCATGTTGCTACACATGGCCAGATTTCATTGTTTCTCATTGCCATGTAGTATTCCATCATATAGATAAATTTCTATGTTAAATATTTTAGGTTGACTTTTCTAGTTTTCTGATTGTCTAGAGTTTATAAAAATAGTTTTGATGGCCTCCATTTGCCACACTTATCTGTTCCTGCTGCTGTCAGTGAGTTGACCTCTAGCATGTTCCTAACCTACTTGCCCAGCCCCTTCACTCTGCTATTTTTGATTATATGGATTGACACTAGATTCATGCACTTATGAAGGTCGTAACTTTTAGTTTTCAAACATTTGTTAACCATCTGATGTATGGTTAACTAATGTCTTGGTGGGCCCTTCTCTTTAAAAGAAATTGCTTCGTTGTACCCCCTTTCCTTTTAGTTTGGCTCAGAAGCCATAATCTTCAGGTTACCAGTTGGATTCTAAATGATTTGCCTGTGGCGTGACCTCTGAAGGGAGTCCAGTGTTGTTAAAATAGGACTTTGGGCATAAAAATGGTTTCTCTATCATTTGAAGAAGTCATGTGAAACTCCAGTTTAGTTGAGGGTGTTATCATTTGTTTAAGGCCTTATGATGCAATGCTTTTTATTTAATTTGCAGGAATAGCCACTCTCTAAAAGAACCAGTATCTTCACTTCACCGACTCTCCCAACGACGTCGAAGAACCTACTCTGATACAGACTCTTGTAATGATACTCCTCTTGAAGACCTAGATAGTAAGTTAAATGGGCTCTGTCTCTTTCTTTGGCTTATTCCCCAAAATTGTGGTGGGACTCCGTAAGTGTTCTGGTAGATGAAAGATACTAACAGTGAACGCTGTCCTTTGCTTTTGGATTAATTCCTTAATTCAGACCCAGGCAAATAGCACACAATCAACAGAAGCTCATATCTCCTCTTACAAACACCTTTATTATTAACTAAGAAGTGCTGAGAGTGTAAATGCCATATCTTAGATTTATATATATAACATCAAACTGTTTTCTTCCCACTATATTTTAGTAATCTCTTAGTAATGTTCTACTCCCACTATATTTACATTTAAAAAGCATTTTAGAACAAAGCATGAATTGTGGATGGGATTCCAGGGGAAAGTAAATGCAAGTTCTGAGTGCAGAGGAAAAAAAATTGGTATTGTTACTTAAGTAATTTGAAATGGCCAGGAGAAATAATTTTTTCTGGTGGTGGTAGTGAACTATGGTAGCAGTTATTCCTGTGCCCTTTTCTCCCTTTTTCTTTAAAGAGCCAGCATCCTGTGAGTGAATACTTTAGGCAAGATTTTATGATTTATGTTAAAATTTAGTTATTTTTCTTTTCCAAGAAAAAGCTTTGAAAGTCTGTCAGAATATCTAGTCTAGACAGTAGTGACCAAGATTTCCAGTGAACACAAATAGAGTATTATTATTACAACTCTTTTAATACACTTTTGATTTTTAGAGTCTATTGCCCATGAAGCATGTGTGATGGAAATTACATAGAGTTCCTAGTTAGAGGGCAGGTTGTGTTCCAGGAGTTTATAAGTCTGTTGTTTGGAACAGATTTTATTTCCCTTGTGGAAATAGCATTGTAAGTGGTGTTTGGATTCTTTAGGTTGTCTAGAAGAGTCCAGCTAATTCACATTGATTAAGATCGAATTGCCTCACTAAACCAGAAGGTTAAACAGGTTTAATTAGAGGAGAATGTAGAGTTCATGAAGATGGTGTTGATTAAAGAGGGCTTGCTGGCTATTTTCAAATTTTTAGAAGTTAATAGCATTGTTTTCTTCACAGAACTATTTATTGATATAGAGGACTACTTTATGCTCATTGCCATTTTTAACTTAAGTTGAGAAAATGGATAAAAGAAATGAAGGAAGGAAAACGGGTGAGGGTGGGAAGAGGACGGGAGAAAGTAACTTTCTTGGGCCAATTTAGTATAACTTGAAAGAGATAAGAGAAAGAGGGTTGGGGGTTAAGTGTGGGAAGAAAAGTTACCTGAGGCAGGTAATGTATATTCTGATTTACCTTGTTCTTTCTGCCTTCTGTATAAGACCCTTTTAATCTAGAGCCCATGAAAGAGCTCTGTATGGTGCCTTATACTTTTCTCTGGATGCTGCTCTTTTTTACTTTAAGGGGATCAATTTCATTTGTGGTAGTGAAAATAATTTTTTTAAAGCTAGCCATTTTCCTCACTCTTTTTAAGCATCCTGCTTTTGAATTTTTTTTTTTAAAGTTTATTTATTTATGAGAAAGAGAGAGTAAGAGAGACAGCACGTGCAATGGGGAGGGGCAAAAGGAGAGGGAGAAAGAGAATCCCAGATAGGCACCATGCTAAGTGCAGAGCCTGAAGTGGGGTTTGATCTCACAACCGTGAGGTCATGACCTGAGCCGAAATCAAGAGTTGGATGCTTAACAGACTGAGCCACCCAGGCGCCCCTTGAATTTTTTTTTTTTAAGTAGGCTGCATGGCGAGTGTGGGACTTGAACTTAGGACCCTGAGGTCAAGAGTTGCGTGCCCTACCGACTGAGCCAACCGGGCACCCCTGGTTTTGAAGTTTTGAAAACAATTTTTTTTTTTTAATTTTTTTTTAATGTTTTATTTATTTCTAGGAGAGAGAGAGAGAGTGTGAGCAGGGGAGGGTCAGAGAGAGAGGGAGTCACAGACTGAAACAGGCTCCAGGCTCTGAGCTGGCAGTCAGCACAGAGCCCTACGCGGGGCTCGAACCCATGAACCACGAGATCATGACCTAAGTGAAAGTCGGACGCTTAACCGACTAAGCCACCCATGCGCCCCTGAAAACAATTTTTATAAGCTTTGAGTGTGCATGCCTTATTCCATTTAGCATTCCCCTAGTTAGCTGCTTAGGAGTGTAACAAAACTAGTTACACATGTTTTTTATTTATTTCTGAGAGAGAGAGAGAGAGACAGCGTGAGCAGGGGAGGATCAGAGAGAGAGGGAGACACAGAATCTGAAACAGGCTCCAGGCTCTAAGCTAGCTATCAGCACAGAGCCCAACGTGGGGCTCGAACCCATGAACCGCGAGATCATGACCTGAGCCGAAGTCGGACGCTTAACCGACTGAGCCACTCAGGCACCCCCTTTAGAACTTTTTTGAAGTTGGGAAGTGTAGACTAGGCCAGAAGTTTTATCCTTAGATTTCCTTCTGTTTATCCTAAAGTTTAGTTAGTCTCAGTTAGTTGACCAAGCAGGGACTGAACTACTGTTCTTCTTTACAGAGTGCATGTTTTACAATTGGATGGTCTTAGTCCGAAGCCTTTATCCCCAAGTATTCTTTTCCTTGAGAGAGAAAACTCCTTCTATTGTTTATTAACTGGATTTTTAAAAATTATACAAGTAATAAATGTTCATGGTAAATTCAAATAATATGTACATACAGAAGTGCAGTTGTTTTGCAACAGGGCCATGCCAATGTGGTTAGTTGTGTTTAGTCGGAACTGCAGTGATAGTTCTGTGAGCTGCAGTCCAGGTGGAAATATGGGACCTTTCCGTGTGAAATACCTTTTCAGCTCTGCTGGAAAGTCTTGTGAAAAGAGCAAGACCTGAGTTAGTCCTAGTTCTATTGGGTAATCTTGGGTTAGGCATGTAACCTTTGTTGGGTCTTTTTTTTTCCCCCCGTAGAACACAAGGAGGATACGGATAGCATTAAAACAATCAGGCTGAGAAAGCAATAGTTAGCTAAGAAAGACTACATTCATTTCAGCATGTGTTTACTGACTGCCCGTTTCGTGCCAACCACGGTTCTAGCAGTGAACAAAACCCCTATCTCTACTTCAGACAGTTTCATGAGGTATTTCGTTAACTCCGAAGCTTCTCCTTATGACTGCCAATAGTGGGAAAGTTAGATTTTTCTCTATTCGACAGTAAACCGAAAAATTAGTAGGAAGCTAAAGGAATTTCATGTCCCTAAGAAATTTAAAATCGTTTTTTTCACAGAGAACTGGAGTTATATTGATAGACTGTTTAACCTTTAATTTACTTCTTAATAGGACCTGTTCACTGTTCAAGAAATACACTTAATGGAGATTTGGCATCAGCAACCATTCCTGAGGAAAGCAGACTTATGGCCAAAAAAAAATCTGAATCGGAAGATCCTCTTCTACCCTTCTCTTCCTGAGGAAATGGAAGTGTCCAACTTCCTCTAAGTATTGCTATGCAAAAGCTGCTGTAATTAAACTATGTTCTAGGGAGTAGTTTTTCCCTTAGGATTTCTCTGCACTTTATAGAATACTGTAAAACAAACAAAAAAACAACCCACATACCTTTGAAGTGTATTTTATCTTTATATAGTTTATTTGCAAGAGTATTTTCCTAATAACTTCACAGTATGAATGTGCATCTTTTTTTTTTTTAAACAGATGATGGTGTAAGATTTTGACATCCATATGGACAAATGTAGATATTTTTCTAAAAACTGTGAGGGACTGACAGCTTAGTCAGTGTGTATTGTAGCTTATAAACATGAAATCTTATAAATCTAAGGTTTCAGGTTGACAAAAGTGTGATACATGTAACTTGTGCCATGGACCAAATGGTCACTTTACCCCAGCTAAAAATGAGTAACGATAGCAGCTTGATGGCAGTTCTATTGTATTCCTTTAAGCAAAAGGAGACATTTAATATTCCAAATATTTTTAGCCCAAGTACCATGACATATTGAGGATTTTTTAAAACCAGACTGTGCTGTCCTTCATATGTGAAGTTGACACTACTGATTTGTCAATACCAAATATTGGGTTAAAGTATTTAACTTTTATTTATTTATTTTTCTGTTGCATCAAAAAATGATTGCATCCTGACTTTTATGACCTACCAAATTTAAGATGTGTATACATTTGTTATTTACATTGTTCTAGAAAAGAGGTTAATGTTGTAGTGACCTTGCTCACTTACACCAGAGAAATAAATGCCTTTCAATGGAAGAGGATTTTAGTGCTTTTTTCCTAAAATAGACATTAAGCTGCTGTTGTAAGGTATTAATGTTTGCAGCTCTTTAGACTATCTAGAGACATTTTTTATTTATGACTATTTATACAAAAAAGGAATTCTGTCAAATTCCTTTCTGTCAAAGTGACCACTCTACATCACTTGAGAATGGCATTATTTAATTAAAGAACAAATAGCGTTTTTTGGTAGTGCCTGTCCATACCTATTGTTAGTGTTTGCCTTGTAAACTGTTTTTTTTTTTTTTAAATTCACTTTGAGCAATGGTTTTGTCCAAGGTCTTGGATGAGGAGCACTTTAAAACAAACTGGTTTGGTGTTTTTAAGTTAATCACATGTTTAATAAATATATGGCTTTTGCATTCAAACGTATCATATAATACATTGTATTTTTTACATTGTTGATACTGTCTGATCTTTATCAAGTGCTATTAGTATTCTTTATTGCTTTGATTTTGTTTGTGTATTTGGACCACTTAGTGAATACACAAATGAGGCATATTTTTAGTTTTGTTGCCTATGAGCTTAGAATGGTGTGGTTTGTTTTACTTTAAGTTTCTCTTGTAGGTTTATGTGGGAAGCTTTTTTAAACAGTTAATATTTGGTATTCACTAAAATCTGTAATTGTAAGTTTAAAATGGACACAATCTAAATACATTAATATGCATTTAGATAAACTGTATGCTATTTAAAAGTATTTGTGATTTTAAGTAGCACACAGGTCATTAGGCTAGATTAAGTGGAATTTTTCTGCTTATATGATGTACTTCATATGTCTAATTTGAGAAAAGTTTAATAATGTAGTAAGTTTTATGTTGAGTGAATAATCAGTTTGTTGTTTTTTTTTTCATGGTAGTAAGACTTTGCATAGTGACTAGATCATGAAAGTCAAGGTGCTACTGATAGGGAGTTTTTCAGATAGGTATTTTTTTTGAACCAGTAGGTTTATAATGAAAACACTATCACAGGCTTTTGAACTCATAGGAAACAAATCCATTTTTTATTGCTTTATCCAAAAAGATGAGTTCCTGAATAGTTTTCTGTAAATATTTTTAAAAATAAAATGCTATCATTTCTGGTTCGTATCATTTTTTTCCCCCTTGAAACAGGTGCTTTGAACAGGTGTGCCATATCCTAAATATGGCTTTTATTGTTGCTGGGACCTGCTTTTTTCCCTTAGGAACTAACACATTTGTGAAATCATTTTTTGGGAGGCGCATAAATGTATCTTGAATTATATGTAGATTTTGATTAGTGAACTGATAGCATGAAGCAATCGATAAAGCTTCAGTGAATCTTGTATTTTGAGGAGCCCTGTGTATGTTCAAGTGTGCCTGACTTTTCTGAATTTCAAGAAAAAGATAAACCAAATAAGAACAATTCTGTAAGAATTTTAGCTTGTCATAACTTTCTCTAACGTATAGGCAGGTAGGTAGTGGTTGTTCTTTTTTGCTTTGTCAAGGCCTTGGGGTTATCGAGAAATTTAGAGACTGTATCATTGGTCTTCTAATCAAAGCCAGTGCTTGCTTGTCTTTTCAAGTGCCTGGTTTCCGTTGTGTGGGAATCCAGGCCTCCATGGTTAAAGTGACTTTGATGAGAATTCTTTTGTAAATGGACTAAATTTGAATTCTGTTACATTACATTGAGTCTATTGTATTATCTTCAATCAGGACAAGTTGAGAAATGGATGCTGTCAGTTGAACTTAAATTCTAAAGCAGGAGATAAAGTATCTTCATTTGGTAGTCACCATGGAACCTTTGATCCTGATTGTAGTTTTTCACTGTATTATTACACTTAGTATTTAGAAATCACCATTAAGATCTCAGGAAATATATCTTTGTAACATATTACTGTTCTGCTGTTAATACTAATTCCACATACATTATTTAATCATTAATTTGGACCATACCAGTTCTTCACTTCTTTATTAAATAAAGTGCCTCCATGTCTGTTCTTTGAGCCTTGCTATTGCCACTTGGTACAGAGGGAGTGTTCAGGCCTGAAAGAAAGTCTGGTTAGACTGTAGGAGATGCTTCCAGGAGTTCCCTCTTTTAGTAGCCCAGGTGGGGTAAGGAAATTGTAGCTGGTAGATAGGGTTTCCTTTTCATGTCTTTCCAGTTCCCCAGTTCTCCTTTCTTTGAATTCATATTGAATTTGAAATAAAAACTTTTTTTTTTTAAATTTTACTTTTCTTTTTATTATTGTAATTATGTACATAGTTTAAAAAACCAAAAAAACCTAGAGGGCATATAATGAAAAAAAAGTCCTCCCTCTCCCCAGCTGAGTGTCCCAGAGATGAGCACTTTTAGTGGTTTGTTCCTATTTGAAAATATATTGTGTTACTTTTTCTTGATTTATCAATTTCAGAATTGCTTTCTTGAGTTCCTTTCATGGCAGGCAGGATTTGCTTGTATTATATCCCTACATCTTCCATATTTCTTGCCCATCTCTCCCAATACAGCTTAGCCAGAGGGTTTTTGTAAAATCAATAGCTATACAAGTAGTCCCTCTCTTATCCACCGTTTTGCTTTCTGTGGTTTCGCCTCCTTTGGTTTCAGTTACCTGCAGTTAGTCCCAGTCTGGAAGCAGATGATCATCCTCATCCCATCAGGTCAGTAGTAGCCCAACAGTTCGTCACAGCGCCTGTGTCATTCACCTCACTTCGTCTCATCATGTAGGCATTTTATCGTCTCACATCATCACAAGAAGGGTGAGTACAGTACAGTGAGGAACCACATTCATACAACTTTTATTAAGTGTATTGTTATAATTGTGTTATTTTATTATTGGTTATTGTGGTTGATATGTTACTGCATCTAATTTATAAGTGACACTTTATCATAGGTACATAGGCATAGGGAAAACCTAGTATGTAAAGGGTTCAGTCCTATCTGTAGTTTTAGGCATCCACTGTGGGTCTTGAAACATATCCCCCAGGGATAAGCCAGGAAACTACTGCAAGTATTGGTCACTAAGGAACCCCATGATGAACTATCATTATTTCCTCTCTACTAGAACCTTATTTTCCCCAAATTAATAATTACCTGATTTTAAAATTTGCTTAGTTTTTTATATATCTACTGCAAAGATTACCCAAAGGCTTACATGCCCCAAAATATCATATAATCTATCAACACCCTCCATTCCCCCCCTTTTTTTTTTGACCTTTGGGGACCTCCACAGTCCTTCATCTTCTGCCATCTGGACTGTTGCTTTCCAGGCCTGTGCATAGCTCAGCGGTCATTCTGGGACCTACTTTGTTTTTTAGTCTTATGTTGGATTTCCCGTTTATGGGATCCTATGACTTCCTATTCCTTGATTTATGCCCCTTTTTTGCCAAAGTGTATTAACCACTGAAAACTTCCTTGGAAAAAGTATGTAAAGATTTTGAGGCTTTACAGGTCTGAAAATGTATCTACTTTTGATTGATGGGTAGTTTGGAATATATGTTGAAAATAATTTTTTCTCAGAATTTTTAAAGCAGAGTGCCATTGTCTCATTTCAATCCTTATTTCTGTGAGAATTTTGAAACTTCTTTTACACAGGCCTACTTTTTACACTCTGGATGCTTTTAGGGGCTTCTCTTTACCACTGACATTCATGATGTTGTGTGGGTCTTAAATTTAAAAGAAAATATTTGTTATAGTTTATTTATTTTTGAGACAGAGAGAAATAGAGCATGAGCAAGGGAAGGGCAGAGAGAGAGACACACATAATCTGAAGCAGGCTCCGGGCTCTGAGCTGTCAGCACAGAGCCTGATGCAGGGGCTCGAACCCATGAACTGTGAGATCTTGACCTGAGCAGAAGCTGGAAGCTCAACTGATTGAGCCACCCAGGTACCCCTGTGTGGGTTTTTATTCATGCTGATGGGTACTCAACTTGGTGGAGTCTTTCAATTTGTAGACTTGTCTGTTTCAATTCTGGGAATATTTTTGTATTTTGTTTTTGAAAAATTTCTCTCCGCCATTTTCTTCATCCTATCTTTCCAGAATTTCTGTTATTTGAATGGTGGATCTCTCAGATTGATCCTCTATTTTAAAAATCTTTCCGGTTGCTTATTGAGTTGTATTATATTTGTTCTTTTTGTTATCATCCAGCTCTTCCATTGAATTTTTTTTAGCTATGTATTTTAATTTCTAAGATTTTTTTCTCTCTGTTCCTTTGTTATGATATTCTGTTCCATTTCAGTGGAGATCTTTTCTTTGGAGCCATTTGGTTTCTCTAGAAAGGACTCCTATGTTTGGGTAGGAGGGTAGAAGAAGAGGGCTGAGGACCCCAGAGTTTGTATGGTGGCTTTTCTTTAATCTCCTTTCA